CGTGTGCTCTTCCGATCTGTGGGACATATAAAAACAATTGTTTATTCTTATCCCATTAACAGCATTAAAATACTTCGTCATATATAAGAAGACTGCCAATAATTAGCCAATAATTAACAAATCCGACAAATACTCAGTTTATTGAAAATGTGCGGTAATTTACAAGGCGACGACTGCATGCTTGCATTTAGGTCGAAGATGGTTATTTTAAGCACATCTTAAAAGGCAATCTGAATACAAATAGCAACCAGAATACAAATATGACTACAATTCGGAAACTAAGATAAATGTTTATCAGACACATTATTTTATCATTATCTTTGTGTTTTCTGTCCACCAGTGAAGTGATCCATACGTTAAATAGTAAATACCATGTAATGTGAATTATAGATTTTCCACTGATAATGACTACGAGAATATAGCTTAAAAGATATAGAATTGAAAATATTTAAACAAAAATACATTAAAAATATATTATAGAATAAGAAAATAAAGTTGCTTATAAAAAAATTTGCGTGTGGCAGGATATTGTAAAAATTATTACACACCAACATCTGTGTTGGCTCGCATTGGCGTTACTTCTCTATTGTTGATTTACTTATTATTCACAAACCCTAGGATGTATTTGAAAGTATAAAAAAGTAACGATAAAAGTAACGACAAATTCGTTACCGTTAGTGCAAAAATGTAACGACGTTATCGTTACCGTTACAGAGAGAAAAAAGTAACGATCGTTACTGAAAAAAAGTAACAAAAATGGTAACGGCGTTACAAGTAATGCGTTACTTCCCAACCCTGCAAACAAATATATTCAGAATCTGAATATAAAGAAAATGGTGAAATAACCAAGAAATCAAGGAATCTAAAAGCAAATAAGAAGAAATGGACCAAAAAACAAGCACCGTGGGAAATATCGCCGATAAAACAACTAACTCCCAGACAACGAGTTGCAGCCGCACAGAAGAAGGACGCTAAAGGGAGATTTACGTTTGGGAAAAAATCTAATGAACAACTAATAACAAGGAAAAACCAAGAACAAATAGAACAATGTCATCAGACGCAAAATATCGCCCCTTGTTTAGCGAATTTGACTCACTTAGATTCTCCTCGCTCGCAATTGGCAAGGAGAATGCAGCTGTCAACAAGCAGATCGTCGGTTGCATCGGGCGAGTGTTGCAATCTAAGCAACAGAGAAGCAGAGGACGAAACGGATGAGCTACAAGTCGAGAGGATCCGGGAAGCGGAACAGCCGACGGAGGAGATCGAGGTAACACAATGGTCTCAAGATATTGCGCGAGAGGAGGAGATTGGCAACTTTGAAGAGAGTCGCCGACTGCCTTTCTCTCTGTTATCGGTAAATGGCATAATTGCCGAATTCAAGGAATTACGCAAAAGAAGTGCAGACGAGCATTATGCCGAAGAATGTGAAGAAAGAATTAAAATCTTAAAAGGACTTTTGAGGAGAATACCGAAAATTTGCGAAGAGAATCGACGCGAATTCGAACGTGAAGAACACGAACGTGCATCAAAAGTAGCACAGGCTGTACATCATTTTCATAAAATTTCATCAAAAGAATTATATGTGTGCGATAAGTTTATGGTTCGCGACAAAAGTGGATCCGAAATATGTGAAGTGTCGTTAACTATGGCGACGCACAATAAAATTCCAGCGGACAGCAAAATGGAAAAAGAATATAAGATCACACTTGACGTAACGGATAATGGTGTAATCCGACAAGTTAGAGTAAAGGAATGTCAAGTAATTAGAGGAAAAATTATCACTCCTATAAGCGACTGTGATCTACCGTCAACATCCGGAATACAGCAAAAAAGAAGAAAGTGCGAGACATCACCTGTTAAGTTAACGGATCAGAGAGAAAACAAAAAAAAAATAAATCCGTTGATTGAACGGGATCCACGGATTAAAGCGACGAAACAAAGAACGAAAACACCAAAGAAACTTTTTTCATCAGAATATGCTCAAGACCAGAACAACATTTTATCTTCAATTGAAAACAAACCTGGGGTAAGGAAAAAACCAAAAATTATCAAAGATTTACGGATAGAATTGCCACGTACTGATACTCAATACAAGCAATTGGCGAGGAGAATGCAACTAACCAGAGGTTCTCAGTTGGTCGCATCTTCGCCAATTTTTGAACCGTTATTACGAACAAGTTTAAGTGATAGGGGAAAATGTAATTGGCAGGAATCGAGCATGTTTACCGAGAGGTCGGATCAGGAATTGGACTTGGCCCGAGAGATGACGGACGAGATCACCGATTGTCATTTTCATACAGCCACGCAATTAGGATGCGAGGAGGGAATCGCGGAGGCCGATGCGGGAGACAACCTACCGGATTCGGGGACGGATAAGGAAGAAGGTATCCCGTGACCAAAGGATGATAGGAAGAAGAAAAAGAAGGGTCAAGGATAATAATATATAATCTTACTATGTATCCGGAAAAATATATATAAACATTATTATTATAAATTATATTAACGTAGATTATATTCCTGCTACGTAATAGAAAAATAAGTACAAATAACCGCTAGTAAATGCGGAATAACCGTATGAGAGAGTTGATCAAGTATTTACGGTCAAAAACTTTGTTTATTATTATTATTAAAGTATTAACGGGCAAAGAAACAGGTTTAAGGTTCATTAAGTAATAGTTACCCAATCAGCACACAATATTTTTTAAATGTTTTTTAAATGTTTTTTTTCATTTCCTGAACTCATTTTGGAAAAAATATTTATTTAACATTTATTTAATATTTTTTTTTTATTAAATATTTGTTAGAATAATGATTTCTAAAAAACGTTTTTTAAACGTTATTTAACATTTTTTAAATATTTATTTAACGTTAATTTAACATTTGAAATAATGATTTGAGTATACATTTTTTAAACGTTTATTTAACATTTTTTAAATATTTATTTAACGTTAATTTTACATTTGAAATAATGATTTGAGTATAGATTTTTTAAAC